TTTTATCTCACATTGTAGATAACAGCTTCTGACAACTTCCCAACAAAATTAAAAAATGTTATTTTCCAACTACTTTATTTGTATTAAATGTAGGATCTACAGCATGGGTCCAATTCTTTTAATATCTGTTGGCAAGTAATCAACACTTTAAATAAAAGAGCTGCCGTATGAGACTTCTGACTTCTGATATAGGTGCAAAATTAACCCATTTTTTGTCTACATTCCAAATTACGGATATGGGACTAAAATTTTCCAATTTCGGTTCAAAATTTGTAAATCTGATAGTTAACGAGGATAGCGCTCGAATTCATCCTACAAACGCCCTAGTGTATATATTCTATAGGTTATCCGCATACTCTTCTTCCCCCGATAGATAGCTCAATACTATATCTTTATATAGATCAGAGGTCGTCGGTTAAACCGATTGACTTTATTCTGTTTTTTTTTTGCCTGCCAACTGTAAGTGTAGTAAAAAATTACCTTTTAAATTTGTTAACAAAAAAATAAATTACCTTTAAATTTTGTTGATACCAGAGATAGTTTTTACATTACCTAATAATGAGATATTCGACTGATGTAATTCCCAAAATTTTCCACTCCCGAGGAAATTTATTTTGTTTATTTTGTGGGTTAATCATTTTAATATTTAATTCATGTATTGCCGTTGAAAAATAATTAAAGTCGACTTCTCATGATCCTCAGTGTGGTTACCCTTAATATCACATACTCGTACAATAACACTCAATATGGTATTTGCTTATGGCAGGAACAGCAAAATCATTAGATTCCTCGTCAAAAGTTTAATTAAGGGCTACAAGTTTGTGTGATTAACCAAAAAACCCTGTTGTTCGTCTATGGTGTCATCATCATCATCAAAAAAAAAAAAAAAAAAACGAGGAAAAAAAAAAACAAAGATTGCTGTTCACTCGGTTCATTTGTTAGTTTGTTCATATTTATCTTAATGTACATCGGCAGGTGGATTTACGACAATGCAGGCAGGCAAAACGTCAAGAAGAAACACAATTTGGTTTTTTTTTTACAAAAATTTGTCAATGACGTTTTTAGTACAAACAGGGAGGCGACAAACGAAATATTCACCGTAATTTGTGGTTGCAAAAATGAAATCGTGTGATTGGTCCCAGGGGAAACCACAACAATCTCAAAAATGTATAGTGAAAAAACAACTGAGTGCAAATAGAATGTGAAATGAGTTTCTCCCGGCTTCCATAATTTCAGACTATGGGAATCTCAAAATATAAAAATTAAAAAAAAAAACACACACATACACACTTGCATACAAATCCTTTGAGAGACAACTATAATTACAAAAATGCAGCCATAAAATTACACGAAGCGTAAAAATTGGCAAAATAACATAAAATAGTTTTTACACAAAGTTTTCTTTTTTTTACAAGAGACATCTATGCCAGCAGCCATGTCATGCCAAGACGCCAGAACGCTTTAATTTCTGGCGTACACACACACTCATACCCATATGGTTAAATATGCATCGTCTATGATGATGAGATGTGGATGGATGAACAGGCGGGCGATCGGTTGGACGAACGGATGCACGGTCGTTCCTCCTATCAACCATTCATTGTAAAATCTATCTGAAACGGACCTACAATACCCCCAATGAATCGGTTTGTTTGCCGGGATGTCGACAACTTAAGCGGTAGATACTTATTTGCCCATTATAAATTAAGGAGAACCAGCAACAACAACGGTGCACTTTTTGGCATTAACTCAAAAAAATCGGAGGGTAAAAATATCGATGGCAAGCTAAGGAGATGATGTTGGTGGCGGCAGGGGCTGTGGACGCGGCCATAGACACAACAACTAACGTGATTAAAAGAACAAATAAATTAAATTACAAAATAAATGGAATCGAAAGAATGAAAAAAAAAAAAACAGTTTGTGTCGGCTATAGGCGCAATTTAAATCTAATATTTGCCGGATATAAGAATTTGTGTATCGGAAATGTGGAAATATCTCTTAAAGTGTCAATTCATGGTAGAAATAAAATTTAAATTTGATTTCTAACGGCAATTCTTTGAGATTAGTTCAGTTCGTGAAAGGACTGATGTAATTTGCCAAATGTTAGTAGGAATATGATTAAATGTTAGACAGACCTCCAGTGATTTCTATTTATTGGCAGGTTTTAGGTACATACTCCTACTCCTTGGAGCTTGTTGAAATTTTTTATTTATTTATTTTTTAATTTAATTTTTTGTATCATCATCACTTTCCAGATTTATGTGAATGCAGTCCGAAGACATAAATATATTATCGTGAGGTAATAAGTAGTACTCAATCTGATGGGGTTTACCTGTATTTTAGTTGGTGCGATTTCACAATTTCAGGAAGGAAGAAAATACTGTAAACCATAGCACTAGAAGGTGCGTCTAACTGCAATAAATACTTGCGTATATAACCAAAAGCGTCCCCCAAGTTTTTTTTTTTAATTTTTAAATAATTTATTTCAATCTTCTCGTAGCCAATGATTAAGGTGACTAATGCCGGCCAGAACATTTATCAATTGTTTCATTGTTGTATTCAAAAATTGGTCTGAAATATGTACATGCATACATAAGCCGATATATTTGAATAATGGATATTACTACATTTGGGTAAAACATCCGTATGCAGGGTGAGATGAAAAAATTGCAACCAACTTCAGACTGCTGTCATTTCTAAGCCACTCGCCAGACAGCTGTTAAAATTATTCTAGTGACAGCTCATTATATTGTTTACAAGCGAACAAAAGCATTTCGGTGAAAATTATCCAGAAAAAAAGTTATTCGTCATGGAATTTTTTATATTTGGCTGGAAAACCACAAGTGGCTATCGTTAGAGCACTCCAGCATTTAAATGTGATTAAATCTTTTGTGTCTCGTACCATCGCTCGTTACCGTGATACTGGTAGCGTAGCCCGACGTCAAGGAAGTGGCCGAAAGAAAACAGCAACATCAGCAGAAATAGTTCGAAAAGTAAAGAATCGATTTGATCGAAAACCGCGTCGCAGTGGCCGAAAAATGGCCATGAGCTAAACTTATCGCAATATTCCATTCGGCAAATATTGAAAAATGAGCTCGGGGTAAAGCCATTGAAATTCCAAAAAGTGCAAGAACTTACACCGCAACAGAAAGAAATAGACTCAAAAGAGCTTAAGGGTTGCTTCGCTTGGACGAAAGTGGTGAACTGTCGAAGTTAGCTTTTTCCGTTAAGAAAACATTCGTTGTCTAGTAGTTTGTAAACAAACAAAGTGATCGTGTTTAGTTGCCAACGAGGTCAGCTGAAAATGTTCACCTTCGGTTGGCCACCAGAACTCAAGCGCCGGCCGTAGTAATGTTGGGCCGCCATAACAGCCGATGGTCGCTCTCCGCTCGTATTATTCGACCGTGGCATCAGAATAAATGCCGAATATTATCGCGAAAATATTCTGGAGAGTGTATTAAAGCCTTGCACATTCCAATAGGACTCATCATCGCACTCAGCACGCGCCACCCAAGAATGGTTACAAAATAAGGTTCCTCGCTTTATTTCCAACACACAATGGCCACCAAAATCTCCGGTTACCAATCTTTTGGACTATTGTGCCTGGAGTATTTTGGAAAGCAAGGTTGGCACTAAAAAATACCAAAATGTCGGGCCAAAATACCGCAGAGCAACATTCGGGCAGCGTAATGGATTCCTTGGCCGTCTGAAGGCCATAATTCGTGCCAAATGTGACCGATTTTAACAAATCTAAACTTATTCTAAAATTTATCGCTATTTCCGACATTTTTGGCTTTCCTTTAATAAAAGTTAAAAAAAAATGTAAAAATCATGGCGTTTGAGTTTGTTGTCTCACTCTGTAATTAATACTTCTTAGAAGGGTTGACCGATATTGCCGATTTTGGCCCTTAATTTTTTCGCGAAGGTATCAGAATAATTTGACCAGTATGTGAGGTATAGGTGGTGTTTACAGAAATATTCCCGAAGAAGTATGTATGCAACCTGTTAAAAATATTACGATATGACAAGTTTGAACAGATTCGGATATTCCATTCGATTTTTGTTACATACTTAAATTTTACAATTTTGATATTTTTTGCCATTTGTAGCGGTACTAGCAGGTGAAAAATGAACCAAACATGTTGGGCTATAAAATAATATACACGGGGACGTAAAACTCCCATTACAAGGTTTTTTTGTTGAACTTGGAAACTGAAATATGAGAAACTAACAACTGTTAAAAACTACAATGGAGTAGGATATTTCTACTTCCTTTCTCAATATGATTGGGAGTTGTGTACCACATCTGTAATGTAACTGCAACTAATATTCATTGGGAGTTGATCAAGGATATAATATATAATTTTGGTAGGAAATTTGACGAGATGCTTTGCATGTATTTTACCATACCGATCGACTACTCTCCATATTTTCAGGTCAAATTAGCCCAGCAAGTTCGTCCTTCCCATGTCTATTTACATATAGGACTCTCACTGACGCCGATGGCAGTGAAGAAAACTATTCCATTTCTTTGAAAGTTTCCTCAATGAAATTTCGAATGTTCAAGGCAGTACGGCGATGGTTCCATCAATATAATTTCCACACCTTGATAGAGTATTCAAAAATATTAGAAGGTTAAAGAATTGTCCATTCCTTTTTCAAAGTGTGACATTTGAACAAAATTACAACAAATTTCGAAGAGATTTCTAAATAAAAGTGGGTGTCATAATTTGAAAATGTTGACCAATCACTTTCTATGATAGGCGTATTTTGACTTTTCTAAACAACTTTATTTATTTTTTTTTTATAATTTTTGATGTTTGTCGCCGAATCCAAAACCTAATATATTCACGTTGCTGTTGCTAGAATATTGAAATAATATTGAAATTGTTCTTCTTTTATATAAACTTAAAATATAAAAGGATATTTCTGCACGATTTGGATTAGAAAATTTTTATATCTATAGTTTCAAGAACAAAATGTATATCATCGACACTTACCTTTCCTTGCATAATCAGCCTTATTGTTAATGTAACCGATGGATCATCGTGTTTAATTTGCGTACTTGTGTTATTGTCCTCCATTTTGTTGTTCTATTCCGTTGTTTTCCGGTTTGGTAGGGTGGATGTGTTGTTCTTGTTGTTATTGCTGCTCCTGCTGTGGGATGATGGTGTTAACTACAGTTATGTAGGCGGCGTTATTTTTGTAAAGTTGTGGTGGTGGTGACGAACGACAATGTCGGGTTTATTTGGATTTGATTTTGAGGGCTTAGTTCATAAAATTGAACTGCTATTGTTTCCGCCTTGCGTTTTATTTTCTCACTTTTACCGAGTGCCCACTCACACAAATGCACAATAGAACTAAGCAAATAGCACAGTTATTGTGTTGTTTTTTATTCAGGCTATACAAATTTGATTTGTATGGTTAAGGACACAAAGTCGGACACAGACACACACACACACACGGGTGAAGAGGTTGCGGAATAAGCCGGCCGTTCTTGCAGAATATGGGAGGATCGGGGGGCTTTTTAGCGCGCACACCAAATTTGAAATTAATTTGACCAAATTCCGGAACAAACTCTGTTTGTGGGATGAAGGTGTTGGTGATAGGTAGTCGGTTGGTTGGTTGGTTATTGGCTGACCGGTATGTCTTTTTATCGTTTCATTGAAACTCTTATTTTTATTGTTGGCTTTATTTTTATTACTGCAACTGCTGCTGTTCGTTTATCCGTTTAGTTTAGCGCGCGTATGTTTGTTTTGCTTTTAATTAAAAAATGCACAAAAATCTCTGATGTCAACGGCAACTACGTTCCTCTAGTTTCTGCTTCTTCTGCCTGTCTGTAGAGAAATCCGCGTTCACGTTTTCTTGATATTTGTATTTGTGAGATTACTCGATATGTATTTGTGTTGGGGGAAATTCTGTAATACGGCGTGTGTGAATGTGTACCTATCCTTTTAGAGACTAACAATATTTTGGGCAGAAATTCCTTTTGTTTTTATGCTCTCTTTTCTTTTCTGCTGCTGGCATTTACAGACACCACAAAAAGTTTTTTCTGGGTTAGGTTGGGTACGGCGATCTGGTCCGGTCTGGGGGACGACAATGACGACAATTAAACAGCCTTCACAACAAATTTCTCTGAACTGTCCACTTTGGCGGTCGTTCTTTTCTGCTGTAAAGAGAAGGAAAACACACACAGAAAAATACAATTAATTACAATTAATTATGTCTACAAAGATTGGAGGGTTTTGCTTATTTCAGAATAACATTTGACAAATTATTTTCTAAACAATCTTTGTTCTGTGCTTTTCAACTACATTTAATGGACGTTGTCATATTTTTAAGACACCCGCTCACCCCCCTTCCACCAACTACCTTACTCTGACAATGGGGGCTGTCTAATGGATTGCTAATTTGAAATTATTTGTCAATTGATTAAAAACCAAAATCTCCGTACAAGAGTCACATTTTTTTTTCCCTCTCCCCCCAATGCAATGATCAAATAATGCAAATACCATGTTCCGGCGTTCGGTCGACCAACTACTACTCACCAATGCGCCCAAAGTACAAACACAATCAAAACCTCTGTACCTTGCCAAAGAGTTCGAGAGAGGAGAATATGCAATGACATATGGCAATTGATTTTTTTTCTTTTTTCGTTGCTTGTCTGATTTATTTGTTGTTCTTAAGGCTGATGTAAAGGCAAAACATTTACAAAACTTTGAATTTGTGCCAACATTCGCGAGTGGAATAATTTGTATTAAAAAAAGTGCCATTTCAATTCTAATTGCATCTCAATGCGTTCGTGCGTAAGTCTCGCCGAGGTAGCGACCATCATCATCATTCTAATACTTTGTTAAGAAAACGGTGGCGCACTTACCAGCCACAACATAAAAATGCAACGAAAACAAACCCAAAATGCTTAGATATAAACAAACAAACAAATAAGATTCGAGTATCTGTCAGAGAGTGCAAATCAGATGCGGGACTTTAGAGAATTTGTGGAAGCATTGCATCTTAACAACAATTTGGCACCCATTTACTATCTTGGAGCAAACTCTTGCTTTATTTTGAGTGATTCTGCACCCACTCTAAATGTTCAAACCAGAGTGACTCGGGAGTGCTCTCACACAAAAACAAAAGAGTGAAGAGTAGACTGCCAAAAAAACTCCCACTCTTCAAGCAATCCTGTTTTGCTCCCGAGTGAAATTAAGCAAATCTGTGCTCTGATAAACTTTAACCTATACTATCTAGGACGAAAAGTTCTCGCCATCAAAAGACTTCAAGACGATAAGAGACTGATCAGTATTTATAGACATTTATCTATTATAATCAATAAAAATGGATTAAATGGGGTTATATTAAAAAGCGTACAATAGTGAAGTAGACTAGCTTTGTAAAACTAGAGAAATACAGCCCTGAGGCCCTGATGTCCACTTCCTGTCAAAATTATATGCAACCAGTTGTTTTCATTTATTTGACACTTTTCCTTATTATTAAGATGAGTTAAAAGGCGCGAAAGAGGGAACTTACTTTCAAAATCTATTCAATCTTTCAATTTCATGGCAAACACTAGTAACTATCTTTAATGCGCCCCTGCAGTGTACGTTTCTTCCAAGCATTTATTTTGAAAATATTCGGCTTTTATTTTTCAAAACAGTAAACAAATACAAATAGAAAGTCAGGCACACTAACAAGACGTAATCAGCTGGTACCATGAGCGGACCTATTTCAATTTTTCTTTTTCTTATAGAGCAGACGTGCTCAATGGGAACCCCAACCCAAATGACACTTGTAGACAAATCCTCGAGGAAAATATGAGGGTATAAAAACGGCGTGTTTTCGTATTTAATCAACCGTTTATGCCAACATATATCAGAAAATCGTGCCTTAAATTACACAGGAAGAGGACGAAAAAAAATCAGAACAACTACTCTAAAAACTGAACACATGTTTTTATACCCTCAGCCATATGACTATAGAGGCCAAACGACCCTCATCGAAATAACGTTTTTAGACTCTAGGTCTCTTTGGACCAAATCCGCTTCTGGACATTCAGGCTCGATCTAGCGCTGTCCGCCTGTCTGTTCGTCTGTTTGGCTGGTGCGCACGATAACTCTCGAAGGGAGTATCCGAATTGGTCAAGCTTGGTACACTGTAATATTGTTATCAAACTTAGATCGAGTCCGGAGATGGGCAATATCGGTCCACTCCTTCTTGTAACTCCCCCACAAAAGGCCGAACTTTCAAATAAAAAAATATTCTACTGCACAGAAAAGGAAAAGATAATCCGATTTTGCTCCAACTTTGCTAATCCTTCCATTTGTATTAACGTTAGGTCAGGTGCGAAAGTGGGCAATATCCGTCCCCTCCATCGAGTACATCCCCCCAAAATTACATCCCCAAAGGGTCAAAATTTTGAATAATTATAAATCTTATAAGATGTGATGTAAGATTCCGAATTACACATATCACAATATTTTCATTAACTCAATCTTTCTGGTACCTCCCCCATATAGGGTCAAAACTATTAATATCCATGAAGCTCATAAAACTCGAAATTTACATTCGATTCCATTCAGACTTGACACATATCGATATTTCCATCAACACAATATCTGTTATGAAGATGGTAGAAATCGGACCATTTCTTCAGCTACCTGCCACACAAAGGGTCAACGTTTTGATTATCCCAAAAATATTATAAATGCCGAAATAAGCATCCGGTTATCTTCATATTTCACACATACCATTATTTCTACTAAGCCAAAGTCTAGTGTTAAAATGGAATATATCGGACCACTCCCTCTGGTACCTCAAGGGGTTAACAACATTTCCATCGACACAAAATCTTGAGCCCTATGTGGGGGAGGGAGATGCCAGATGAAATGGTCCGATCTCTACCATAAATATGGTATTTTTGCAAACACAAGATCTGTTGTGAAGATGATGTATATCTGTGAGCCCTTTCTGGTTCTCACCCACAAAGGGTCACAATTTTCAATACTTTTATCTGTCATAACTTGTGAATCAAGTCAGTGATTCTTTACAACTTGCTCCATCTAAATATTGCTCTCAACCAGAAACATGAAATAAATATGGAATTTATGATTTCGCAAAAAAATTTATATATGTTCGAATTGATGTTCAATTTTCTTGTAATGTAGCCCTTACCAATATTTTTATCTGTATTAGATGAAGTATGAAGGCAATGGAATACTTCGGTCGACTATATCTGGTACCTCACGCACATTTTGACATTTTCTGAAAATTATCACATATGTATGTCATATGTGATGGAGGCAAGTCAAAATATATTTAAATTATCGAACATTGGCTGTGGGTATACATCTGTCGGCTAAACCGACTGATACTTTATATTTGAATTTTGAGTTTATTTTTGAATTTTGGTTGCCCTTTAAGCAGGGACTAATGGTCTGAATACAACATACATCGTTTAAGACAGAGCATTGCTTAGCCGTATGTCACTTCTGCGATAAAACAAAACCAAAGGTATTTCACAGTTTCTTGTGAAAATCTACAAAATATTTTCTTAGAGAACATTATGCCTAAGGTCATGCTAAGACAATGGCATTATTGTCGTACGATAATTTTTCCTCAACCACTCAAAATACTCCTTCAAACCAATACAAACCACTTACAATTATATCACCAGCTATCAAGGTGCCTACTTCCGAATACCAGTCGAATTGATGGCAGGTGGAAATGTAGATAATATAGAAATTATGGAGACCAACTTTTGGAAGTATGGAATGAAGCGAACATTGACATTTTCAACGATTGTAAGGCACTGAAGTAAAAACATTATTTCCACTGCTTTCCAACATGTGGTCGAACGTGGTTATTATGGAAGGAAGCAGCAGGATAATCCGATTTTGATTCGATCTTCATAGCTCAGAATACAAACCATCTTTTAGATCTGAACATTACGATACGCGGAAATTTTTTCTTTTATATTTTTACAATAAGCCACAAGTAACTTTCGAATTAGGATTTTTTTTCTAATTTTAGGTACGATCTTATCAAACCATGATACAGGGATATAAATCTATTACAACATATCTTTATTTAAACCCTACGCCCCTGTTTCTTCCCAAAAGCGCTGCTGCTGCTTTCTATTTTAAGAACTACTGTCTAAGGTACAATTGTGAAATATTATATTTAGAGTAAATTTATCTGTCCATTAAAAATTCAAATGAAATTCTTGTCACCTACTAAGGAATCTCAATCAAATATTAAAAAAAAGAAACAGAGCATAGTGTCTATCATCAGAATAGGTAGCACAGCCTGAGACTGACGGGTTCGACGACACCATGCTAAATAATAAAAATAAATCAGTACCTAAAATATTTCCTATCTCCCTGAGTGGTTTTGCTGGTTAGTTGGCCATCTTTATCAGCCCATTTTTGTATTTGTTTGCCCAGATTTGAGGCTATTTTTAAATTTATCCCAATTTATAGGAAATCTTGTCGTTTGCTGTCGCATTTTTTGCATTTTAGGCAAATTTCGTTTTAATCCCCATACAAAAGAGCTGGCTATTTTTTTTTTCTCAAATTGTACCGGCGACAAAAACATATAACGAGAATTATATGTAATTTACCACAAAACTATTGCAACAATGAGGAAATAATATGTCACAAAAAATACGCAGCGCATTATTATTTTGGATTTCGAAAATAATTTTGTGGCTTTAGGGAAATGCCATGAATTCAATTAGGATTCTAAAAGCTCATTAACATTTCTAATTGAAAGTGGCACTTTTGAAAATATATTTGACAAAGGGAAATTGGAGGGATGGATAATGTATCGTTAGAAATAGGAATGTCATAGGATATAAGTGCTACCACGAAGAGCCAATAAATAAGTTTAAAAAGGAAAAGTTCTATTTTTTGAATAGTAGATTTAAATTTGAGTTTAACTTAACAACACAAATCAGATTTTTTTGTTATGAATGGAGGACTTAAGCTCGAATTTTTTTCATTCGAAGTTGGACACACCTTGCTCTCATCCACTGATACGGGCATTAATTGTTGCTTCAGAGATTACATGTGTCGACGCACATCTCTCTTATTGTTATTATTACTATATTTTATTTTTACACCCTGAGCCATATGGCTAGAGTGAGTACATATCATTTGATACGGTCAAAAC